CCCTCTCACTAGTCCCAGGCCTGAACCTGTCCAAACGCTGTAGCCGCTCGCCACAGGGAGCATATAAAAGGTGACAGGACCTAGTTGGGAGCATCCTGGAAGGCTTCTCTGAGGAAGTGACATGTGGTGCAAGATTGGAAGGCTGGTTAGAAGTTGGCCAAGATAAAATTAACACGAAATAGTAGTGGTCCCTACCTTTTCAGAGTGGTTTATGGTTTGCATAAGGTTTTCATAAACATCCCATTAGGTCCCATGAAATATCCCCGTATTTGAGATGAAGGGAGCTCAGAGAGTTAGAGTGACTGTCCTGGGTCCCACAGCCAGTGAGGGGCACCAGGGCCAGATGGCATGATTCTAAGTCGGGAGAATTTCCACCACCTCACACTGGCAGCTGGAGGAGGCAGGCAGGCAACCACAGGCTATTTCCGTCCCTCTTCCCCAAAAGATGACAGTCGGGATGCCAGCCCACCTGAGCCTGCCAGTCCCACCATTGGCCTGGATAAGAAGACTCGCCGGAAGTTCCTGGACCTGGGGTGAGTGGAGGAGGGACCAGAGCCAAAGGCGTGGGGCTGTTGGGGCGCAGGGTAGCACAGTGGGCAGCACTGGCCCACCCCCCTCTTCCCTCCCCGTAGGGTCACCTTACGCCGAGCATCTACTAGCAAGAGCCGGAAGGATAAGGGCAGCAACCGCCTGTCCATGGGCAGCAGGTAAGTGGTACCCACCACACCTCAGCCTCAGCTTCTACCCATAATTCCCTGTGGGCCCGGCCCTCTCCTCGGTGCCCACACCCATGCAGGATGCTCTCTCCACAGGGAGTCGGTGGAGGGGTCCAGCAGGTCAGCGGGCTCCCCGTTCCTGCCCTTTTCCTGGTTCACAGACAGTGGCAAGGGCTCGGCGTCCTCTGGCAGCACCACCTCCCCTGCCTGCTCCCCTAAACATGAGAGCTTCAGCCCTAAGAAGTCAGCTTCTCAGGTAAGTCCATGGCCTTCTTGCCCCCATACTGGCCCTGGGGCTCAGATGACATGAGAGCATACTCCACTCTGGCTCGGGCGGGGATCAGGCATTCCTAGAGCCCATTAGTCCTCCATAAAGCCA